AAAAGGCAGGTGGACATTCAGATTGAAAGCAAGATACTAAACAAGGTTTTCACTGGTGCCTAAGAATGACAGATGAGAGTCTGCTAGAAAGACTTTGTTTAATATTACCCCTTGATACAATTTTCACAAATCATTACACGCTTTTACAAAAGAGTCAGCAGTTTTAAAAGAACCCCACTGGTCTTTCATCACTGTTGTTAACCCACATCATACAAATAGTATTTTCCTTTGTATTCTAAATGCACATATTAAACAGCAAGTGGTCCTGTAGAAATTGAAATGACCCCTTAAAGATCCTTTGCCTCTTTAACAAGAAACAGCATTTTGCTGGGAGATCCATCCAAGTTAAGAGAATCATGGATTTAACAGTGCAGAAAAAACCCAAACCTTTACTTGAAAACCAGTTTAAAAATGATTTACCATTTGTAGGTCTGTAAGAGATGTGATAAGTTTTTTTCCAGGCCCTGTGTGATCTGTCCCCTTGATCTTTCAGGCATGTCCTATTAAGAATCTAAATTAAATTAGCTGTTAAAACACAAGGTTTGTTTTCTATGTCTATTTCAGTAAATTGAATTTGCTCTCTTGCTGTTAAAGCACAAGTAACTAGGTTAGTAAAAAGAAGGTAGAGGTAGTACTAGGAGTACTTCCTCCAATCACAGGAAGAGTATCAGGAGAAAAAGCACCTAAAGGGTGAGAACCGTATCATGCTGGTATCATGTCCCAAAGGATGTAGTTGAAACTGTATTGATGGAATAAATTAAAATGAACCTGAAAAGCTTATTTGAAGAGTATAGTTTGAATAGTGCTCAGTGGATGAAGCAGGTCATTCCAGGTCACAGTTCTGTTAGCGTTAATTTCTATCATTCAGTTCTATTGTTTTTTGCTTAGAACACAAATTTTGTAATTTAAGCTAACTGTGTCTGCATGCTGCATATTATGCATGTACCACTACTTAAGAGGATGGTGAGTAACAGTCCAAAAAGAAACAATGGCAGCCCTAGTAACTTTAATATTTACAAGGAGACTTAACAAAGCAATCCAACAGCCATATCATTCTACAATAAAGAGAACTGTACTCCAACACCTTTCTGCCAAATGTCATGGGAAAGTACAACGTTTTGGAACTCTTCAGTGGGGCAATATTGGAAATACATGGACAGCCCTACAGGGCTGCTACCCCATTCCCCTCTGATGAGCCTGCAGCAGTGAAACGTGAACTTGAAGATAAATATTTGGATATATATTGCAAGAGAAAGAGAGGAAACAAAGTTTTCCTGGCAGATAACTTTGTTTGTGTTGTGTAAAAGACAGCTAACATTTCTAAGTTTTGCAGAAGATCTTTTGAAGAGAGACTAGGAATGAACAGTGAGTACACCTGAAGGAGGCTGGGTTCTCAAGGGCAGCAAATAACTGGTGTCACAGTTATTCCAGAAAATAATTGGAAAAGCAAGAAAGAAATTAAAGCACCTGCTACTGCTCCTGTCACCATAATGAATTTTGCCCAGTTGAAAATAAAGAGACAGAAAAACCACCCCTTCCTCCCCACAAAACCTCCAATATGTTGCTTTCGGTCTTGGATCAGCAAAGTTTGATTTTGCCCATACCGCTGAGAACTCTTGAACCAATTCTGGCAATGTAAGTCCAACTATGAGAGGGAACATGAGCAGCCCTGTAAACCAATTTTCTTGAAATATGTTCATGGTCCTCATTCTTGAACAGGAGGCAAGCTGACAAGATAGAAAGGAAACTGTCACTTACCATCTTGTCATGCCTGCTTTAGATTTTGCCCTAGCTTTAGAGTAAGAATATCCTTGCCCTCCCAATGCTCTCCTGCCATGTCCTCCTCAGAGTGACCTATTCAAGTCTCAGATCTCTGTACGACTCATGGAAGAGGAGGAGGGTAGTTCTCTCTAGACTACAATTAGTTTGCTACATGCTCTGTAGGAAGCATAATTTTATTTTTCACATTTGCTGTGAGCAAATCGGTCACCAGCCAGTCACAGCAAAGCCTATTGACATGCATTTCAGAACAAAAGCATGTCAACAGAAACATAAAAAGCGTAAAAAATCTAGTTTATTGCTAGTTTTCTCGTCATAACTCAAAGCCACCTAAGGCTCCAGTAAGCACAGACAAAAGTTCTGATACCCTTATTTTGATATTTTTCTTCCTTGAATATTCATTTGACACTTGATTAAAGTAATCTTTTTAAAACACCATCAGGTCTTTGTTTCTTCAGCTTTTTGATCCTGGAACAGAAGAGCATACACAATTTTCTCAAGTAGGAGAAGCAGAGACTTGTTTATCTGCCAATAGCTATCTGACAACTAATGAACATGTATCACATTTATAGCGCTAGCGCATAAGGCTCCTTTGAAAATTTGTGTCCATAATGTTTAGCAAATTGAAACAACAATCTTTGGAACTGCTTCATTCCTGAGGTATCAGTAACGATGACATATTTGGGCCTCCCTTCCAGCAGATAGTGAAAAAGGGACAGGAAAAGAGTTGGAACTGAAAGCTTCCTCCTGTTAAGAGAAGGGAATCATTCAGCAATCCCATTCCTGGTGATGGTCCTTGGGTTGAAAGAGGAGTCACAGCAGCTCTCCCAGCTGCTACAGTTTCTGAATTTCTCAGAAGAGGCTTCATCCCTTCTTTTTCAATGGTGCAGGGAAAATGAGAAGCTAATAGTCACCACTTGCTGCAGTAGTGTCTTTTAGCAGTCACATGGACTGTTTTGTCTACTCCCGTTTTCTGTTTTGCCATAGCAAAGTTGCAGCAGATAGCACATACCACAGAAAAAAACTTGTCATTGCAGTCCATTGATTTTACATTTTTTGTTTAATGAACTGAAGTGTGAAACTCTGAGATGCACAAAGATTTCAGATACAGACGTGACTTTTCTGATGTGCTTCATCATTTATTAGATTCTCTTTTGTCTATATGTACATGAAATGCTCAAGGCTCAGAGAAAAGAGAGTAGTTTAGTATAAGGAAAAATTATGTAGGTGTTCTGCAAACCTTACAGACATTAAACCATTACAACGGGAAAATACTTAAATAGGAGAAAAAAAACCCAACCTTTAGAAATTATAATCTAATTCAATCTTACTTGCCTTGTACAATTAATTGGACTCAATTTGCTTCCAGTGTCACAACTTAATAAAAATTAAAAAGGAGAACATCCATTTTAGGTCAATTAGCCCACATATTGGAAAAGTGTAGGATATCCTTCTATAGTATATTTTACAGCAATTCTCCCAGTAATTGCTAAAAGATACACACACAGATCTTAACTGATCTAATCACACACAATATGTACAGTGGGTGGGGGCAATTTCATTTTTACATATAATTTCCAAGTTACTTCTAGGTCCACACAACTCTACGCTCTGACTTGTCTGTGAGTTACGACACAATCAGAAATCCAGGCCTTTGTTGGTGACTATGGACCAGTCAGGAAAGCTTCCCTCCCATTCCGGCAACCTGGTCACCCGTCCTTTCTTTTCCTTGTTTGAGACTGGTAAGCGCATATGCAACATAAGGCTAGAGGAACCTCAAGATGACATCTAATGCGCTTGGTCACCGCTGGACAAGATCAAGTACAGCTACATAATTACTGGAAAATATTAGCTAAACTGGTTTTAAAAACCTTAAATGGCACATGATGATTCTGTTTATAAACTGACCTGTTCCAGTACTCAGTTGTCCCTACCATCAGGAAGCCACTTCTTAATTTTGAACCTAAAACCTCCTTGACTGATGTATAAGCCTCTTATTTTTTGTCTTATCCACCATGAACATGAAGGGAATATATTCTAGTTCATTTTTGCAGAAGCTTTGTAGTTATTTCAAGATCATCATGATGCCTTTTTCCAGTTTTCTTTTTCCTAAAGAACTCAAATTATTTCAGTGTTTTCTGGTAAATGTTCAAGATTTCTAACTATTCTCAGGTCTTCACTGATTTGCCTCCAGGTCACCCACATCTTTCTTGAAAGGAAATACCCAAAAAGTGGACATGAAACTCAACATGAAACTCAGACATTTCTAATTCTACATGAAGAGAAAGGTAATCTCTCTAATCCCTGTGCAGTGAGTCCCTCCCTGCCCCTTAGCAGCTTTAAACTGATATACCTTTGCTCATCTACATAGCAGACAGAGCAGGGACCCACTGGGAAAAAAAAAAAAAAAAAAAAAAAAAAAAAAAAAAAAAAAAAAAAAAAAAAAAAAATAAAAGAAACAAAACATCAGTTGAATAACAATGGAGGGAAGTCTTAAGCCTTCTTATGCTGGAACACAGACATACAAGACACATTACAAGACTCAGCCAGCGTTGCAGACATAAATTGCAGATGAGAGCAAAACACAGACTGAGTATATCACAAAACATAACAGAACTGAAGTATTCAAACTGAGAGATGCAACAACATTTCCTACAAAGACATGATGCAGTGCAACAAAAAGCATCCAAGAGCACTCTAAAACAATCAGATGGCCAAACATAGCTTCAAAATTTCAGCTTGACTGTAAGGAAGAAAGCTTCAAGTAAAGGTCTCTCAAGCTACAACTTTCTATTCTACTCACTTTGCTGATGAAAGAGGGAATGCTATTTTTATAGCACTCAGTTCCTGCTACTGGACCCAAATCAAACAAGAAAGTAAATATCAGGCCCAAAGAGAAGGTAGGATATCACACCAATTCACAAGAATTAAAGTTTGTTCAGACACTCCCCCAAAATA